TTGTTTTAGAATTTGTTTTTCGATAATAAAGGATTACTCTCTACTAAATATGGAAACAGTTTAGTAGATAATGGACTTTGAATGGAAATAAAGTAAAATTTAAAAAAAATTTCCGTCAGGTACAAATTCATACATTTTATGATCTTTTAATATTCTGAATGAAAATTGTTTTCGTATAGAAAAGTCATGTTCGAATCATAATATTTATTATCAAATTCATTCCAGATAGAAATGATTTTTTTCTGTGCATTTTGAAATAGAATTTCGAACTTTTTTCTTACATAATATGAATATTAATTATTATATAAATTAGTGATTTTCACGGGAATTCCCGGGACGGCAAACTGATTTTCTGGAATATGCCGTTTAATATGCTAACTAATATGTGCTTTTAAAATTAGTTTAAAAATGTTTATTAGGAAGTTGCATTTCTTTTTGAAAACTCAAATCTAGTACACTGAAGATAATCCATGCCTAATATTATTTTAGAAAAAAATCGTTTATTTTACGAAATATTTATTAAATTATATAAATTTTAAAATGTAAATTTAAATTAAATATGGTGAAAGAAAACTGGCATTTATCTTATTATCTTATTTTATAAAATAAAATTTAAATTTTATTAAATTATAATGTAGTTAATACTTATTATTATGTTTAATTTTACGAAAAAAAATTGTAAATCGTAAAATAAAAAAATTATATTACGAAAGAAATTTTGTTAAGAAAAATTTCTTTACTTTCGTTACATGTCACATGTCTTAACGAAATTATTTTTGTAAAATTTCGTAATTTTACATTAGACTATTGAGCCTAATGATATTTGTTCAAATTGTCATCGAACATTATCTTTGCAAGCGTTATGGAGTTAAAATTCGTTATATGGTGAAGTTCTGGGCCCATGTTTTTCTTTCACAATAGTCAAGATTAGTACCAAGCATTTGATAAATTATCATTAACTTAATTATATTTAGAAAACTTACTTAAATCTTTGGAATATTTTAAAATATTTCTGATCCCACAATTTTCTATTAAAATACTTTTCTATATTTTGTATGCAACTTTTCCGGGCATGAAAGACAAGGATATTATCGATTGGTTTTTATCATATAGTAATCATCAAAAGGTTCCGAGACACTACCGAAATAGAGCTTGACAATGTAATCGGATTATTGGAATGGAAAGGCAAAGAATCAAAACCTTAGAATATCACTATTCTTTTAGATTCGAAAACCTTGAAAATATTACAATTCTGGGTTAAAGGCATGTTACCAGTACCTTTCGGTTGACTTGAGTTACTCATCTGGTACCATGGGAATGAGTTGCCCGCAGGACAGTGTTCTGTACTAGTTTTTGTCGAGCGGTTTTTTAGAATAACTTAGTGACTGTGGTTTAACACAAATAGCTGGAAGTTATGTTTATGAGTTTTCAACTGAGTTCAACCGTTTGCGGGTTCCAGGACTTCATTGAAACAACCAACATAATTCTACCTTAGCCGAATTTAATTCTACCTTAGCCTATTATCCTAGCATTTCCTCTAAGAAATTTTTAAAAAAATTTCAAATTTTTCAATAGATAGAAAATAAACTGTATTAAATATTATTTTTTGTTTATTTATTTCAACATATTACTCTTAGTACACAAAATAAAAATCGGCTAAGCATTCAATTATTTAGGTCAACTCAACAAAAACAGCAAAAAAAAATAATTTTCACAATTTCACACATTTGAAACCTAAATAAAAATAGGAAATTTTAAGGTAGGGCATGAAATTTCGACAAAATAAATAAAAAAGAAGCAAACAAATTTTGAATGTATAGAAGAGGCAAATAAATATTTAAATTTTTTGAGTAAATATTGCAGTACGACATTTTTACAAATTGAAAATGAAGTTGAGAAAAGAAGAAACAATGATGAAATACTGCATAAATAAACAAGTAACATATTTTGTGCGTAAAAGCTTTAGAAAACAATAAAATAATAAATACATCTTGAAATATTTTTGTATAGAGGCGTATACTTAATATTATTTAATCATAACCATACAGACACACACATCATTGAATGAAATGGCCAAAAAAGTAAAATAAAATAGGTAAGTATTTTGTATGCCGGTAAAGAGAAGATGATTGAATGAATGAATAAATGAGTGAGTGACATCTTTATGAATAACTGTAAGACAGTGGATGTTTTAGTTTAGCTGAGCGTAAAAATCAAGTTGTATGAGTAAGAAAAAACACAAGCATAAACGAACGAATTTAAAACTGCTTATTTATGTTTATTGTTCAAGTACTGACTGCACACACCGTTTAAGCCGCAAATGAAATTGAAATGTGGGTTTTGTTTTTTTTTCTCCAGCATTTTACCTTGTGTGTGACTTTCTTCAGGCGCACATGAGCTATAAACATTTTGCGCGTTGTTTGTTGCGCTATACCCTACATCATATTATATTACATAGAGTGAAAGATATGCGATATTTATCGTTAAGTTTGACCTAGATTTTGTAGTTTAATTAATATAATGAACTTAAGAATGAAAGTGATATAATCGAAGTAGTACATTTGATGTTTTTTAGTAAAAGTTAATAATATGAATTAATTTCAGTTTATATGAGTTAACTTGTTGAAAGATCTTAGATATTTGTTATTTAGTTAGAGACATGAATTTATTAAAAGTAATAATATCACGTCTCATATTGAAAGTTTATTTAAATGAAATTTTGTTTAAGTTAAATGGTTATGTTATATACAGTTTTTATCCGCCAATTTTAAAATACAACACACTTATCGTGCAGGAAACTTCCTTTTGAAATTCAGGAACAAGTATATAATTAAAAAATTCGTTTATCGATTAATATACCTCTACGGAACTTTAGACTTTTGGTAATTTTATTCGCTTTGCGACTGCTTTTTAAAATATTTCTGTTCAAAATATGTTTCCAGGTTAGGTTACGTGGGTTGTTCGCTAGTAAGCGAGTTCACTCGGAGGCCTTATGGCCCATTGTGATACCCTTAGAATTACCATTCCCTAATATTGAGAGAATGATAATGGTTTCCCTCCCTAATTTCATTGGCTACTTGGTTCATTCGGTATCCGAGTAAACCAGCCGGTGCTTTTAATAAAACCGATCATATTTATTAGTGATCCATCTCTGAGACAGTCCAGATCATGGAAAAGAGCTCTACCAAGATAGAGTAGTCTGTGCTCTTGTAAGGCTGAGCAGTCACATAGAAGGTGTTGTACCGATTCCACTTCTTCTTCGTCCAAGCAGCTTCTACAGTAGCTATAATTTGGGTAGCCCATACGTTCCGACATATCTCCAATCATACAGTGCCCAGTAATTATACCAGTTAGATGTCTAATCTAACTCTTACTAAGAGACAAGAGAGTCCTAGTCCACCTGAGTTCCGTCTCAAAGCCCATTCATCTATCAATTTTGATAGGGTCGTCAGGGGAGTGGGAATATGCTTTTGAGCAAGGGTTAAGTCTAGGGACGACCCTTTGGTTGCGCATTCATCAGTTATTTCATTTCCCCGAATGCCCTCATGTCCTGGAACCCATATCAACTCAACGTGATGTTGTGTCAGCTGTGCCAATGATTGAGTTTTTCGGAAAAGATTCCCAATCCCGTGCCCCTTTCTGTCTTTGAACCATCAGTATAGATTAAGATCACGTCGTCCCTTAAGACAGTGTTCGCGGCCCATTCATTCCTTGTCGGTATTATGGTCATGAATGACCTATTAAAATTGAGTGTAGATAGAATGTAGTCTGTTTCTTGCCCTGCCTATCTTTTGTAGGATGATGCCATGACCAATACGGTCGTGCTTCAATCCGTTCGACTGTTTAAGTCGTAGAGCAGATTTAGCAGAAATGCATTTGATGTATATATATCAAGGGGAGTTATATTTAGCATCGTCTCTAGACTAGCCTGAGGGGTGGAGCTCAAACTGCCAGTGATTGCAATGTCTTGCTAATCTTTGTACCTTGTTTAGAATAGAGAGGTAAGTTTTGGTATCCACCGCTCTCCACCAAACAATAACGGTGTACATCCAGTGCACAATATGCCTTCAAGGCACATAATGCCTTCTTCATTCGACTCTCAGCGTGAGCTTAGATTCTAAGATTACGCCAAGATATTTGGCTTCATTTGAGGTATTCAGAATGGTACCATCCAAACGCGGAGGTCTGAATTTTGTACCTCCTGGTGAAAAGAACCAGTTCAGTTTTGGCCAGGTTGACATCCAGACCGTTTTCCTTTTCAAATTGGAGAGCGATACAGAATATAGGTAATAGTAATATAGGTTCTTGGTTTACAGCAACACCCTAGTCGATCTTTGCCATCACAAATAATTCTCACTTGTCTTGTTTACTTGACTTGTGTAGGGCCTCTATTAAAATGCTATTGTTTTGTACACAAATTTTATGACTGATTTTTATTTTAATTTTTTTAAGAAACAAAAATTCAACACGGTTTAAATTTTCTCATAAAGTTGTGCTTAAAAAAAATCGTGTTATTTTATTTGAGTTGTACAACAAAATTTTGAGTACATATTTTCCTACATTTCTTTAAGAAACGAGAGTAAAAAAATAGTGCAAAGTGGAGGAAGTTACTCTGCTTAAATGCCAGAGACAAACAACTTTATTTTTATGCTGCTAAATTTTTTGGTTAAAATTTTTTTGGAGAGTAAATATGGCCGAGATAATTTTGTGTGTGAATTGTGACTGACTCTGACTTAACTTTAAAGTCCAAAAAAAGTCTACTCTCTGCGTAAACAGTTTTTAAGTATTTCTTTCATTTCAGACCAACAAAAAAGAAAAACAACAAAAATAATTCATTTAAACAATGTTTGTATTGTAAATTATTTTGTAATGTTTTGCCGCATTTATTGGTATGTGTGTATGAAGTTTTTTTTTTTTTTTGGCTTTTGTCGCTGAACAATTTTAGTCAAAATAAGAAATTGGTAGTATTTTGAAAATACTTTGTATATAAGACCGTTGCTCTTGAGAAGTTGACATCAAAAGCATCTTAACCATCAAAAGTGTTGCACGCAACATCCGTGGATATAAGAAATCAATTACAATAAAAGGATTAAATCGGTCGTGTTATTTTACGAAAGAAAAAAAATAAGAAAATAAATCAATATGAAAGTGTTTGCCATAACTACAGTTTGTTTATTGGTTGCCAGCTGTGCCTGGGCTGCTCCAAGTGTACAAGATAATCAAATCGAAAGTGAATCAACCTTCACACGTGCCGCTCGCTATTTGGGCTCATGTTTCGAAAGTGATGATATGACCACTTGTTTGGCTGTTAAGGGTATTACCGCTCTTAACCGTGCTGCCAGAAGTAATAATATCGAATTGGTCAATGGTGTTTCATTCAAAAGGTGTGTGTTTTTTTTTTATTATGGGAAAAATAATAAGTTTAAAAAAAATGAAATAAAAAAACTTTTGAAAAAACCTTAAACTGAAAACAAAAGAACAGTTTATATGTGAAATTTAAATCAAATAATTGATCAAAATACTAAGATTGAAAGACATTTGAAGTTGGTTGTAAAATAGAAACAAGAAAATACCCATAAAATTAAACCAAAAAAAAAAAAAAATAATTAACTAGCTGCTTAAAAATAAATTAACATTAACGCTTTAATGCTTAAAACGATCAAGTCCAATATTATAAAGAAAGTATTTCAAAAGAAAACATTAAGTGGATTAATAGTTTAAACATGTGTAAATATTACTTTGTTTAGAAATTTAACTCAATCTGAAAGGATTATTAGCTTTCGAAGCCTTTGCCAATGTAAAAGTGTTGCATATCATGTTTTAAAATTATGTAATTTTTTTACACGTTTTTAAGCATGAGAATATTTCTGTCAATTTCACTTTTTAAATAACCGGCCTTTTCCGGTTTTCGATTTTTTGCAATTTGATTTGTCACTTTCGATTACGGTTTTAAATATTATTTAACTTTTTATATTAATATTTATTAAAGTTACATAATTTAAAAAGTAACTTCCTTCTTTTAAGAAATCTAGTCAGTTTTGGAGTTGTTATATTTGAAGGTCGTTGTCAAAGTTTTCTTTATAATTTGTTTTTATATTTTCATTGTCAATGGCTGTTACCGCTTATCATCAAAAGTGGTTATGTCTTGTTATTTCACTTATGTAACTAGTTTGTATATTTGCAACACTGTCAATATTCTTCTTATCCTAAAGACATAAATCCACCTTTTTTCTATATGTACAAAAAACAAGTTTTAAGAATTTCCTGTTAAACTATCGAACCTGATCCATATGTCTTAATATTCATTAACATATTCTATTAGTGTTGATCCAATTGACACGTTTTTGCGGTTTTATATAATTGATCGCATTCAATTCCGAAATTTAATTTTAGTTAAATTTAGAAAATATTTTGTCAAAAGTTAAAATTGTACCAAACTGCTTACAAGTAAGCATAAGTATGACACACAGAAAAGATCAATAACTACTTGAGGTAATCATTTGATTAGGACCATAAAAGTATTACTTTAACAATCCCTTAAAATGATTTAAATAATTTTTTAAAATTTTAAAAATTTACTAAATATTTGAAAAAATTATTAAAAATTTTTAATATTAACATTTTGGGTAAGTCCGTTCTGAATAAAATTCCCACGGAAACACAATTCAGAATTCAAATAATCTTTTCTCTCCCTCCTTATAATTTTATATAAAGCACAATCTACTATCTTAATACTATTATCTCTAATTATACTACTTATTTTAAACCCTTTCTTTATAAATCTAAAAAAAATTTAACCCATTTCTGTAGTTACCCACTTACCCCTGCTAAAAATTTAAGTAAATTTTTAAACTTAAGTGAAAGTTTGTGTAAAATTCACACTCTTTTTAACATGCATGATTGAAACTTTTCTTAACTAAAGCACTTTAAAACGTTTTATAACACCTAAATAAAACTTACTTATTGAACTATAATATTTACTACTTAACTAACTTATAAACTAAACTCGTACTTTAAATCTAATTAAACTAAACTAAAGCATGTCTTAGAATTACTTACTCTTCTTAGCACTATAATATTTTATCTTAATCTTATCTTACACTTTCAATCTTTCTTAACAAAAAACTCTACTATTTCCTTTCCACTTTAATACATCTTCCTAGTTCTATTAGTTTTTCAATATGGTTTTTCTTTTTTTTATTTCTTTTAACCAACTTTACAGAGATCCTGCCAGTCCTGTACAACGCAATGGTCGTGCTCTCAGCGAAACTGATGTTCTCTCCCAATTGCCCGAAAATGCTGATGAACGCACTGGTCAATTGATCGATATGGCCGTCGAGAGCGCTTCCGAATTCTTGGGTAGCCATAATCTCGAAGTGAAAGTCCCAGCCGAAGCTACTCAAGAAATTGCTCGTGCTTTGGATGAAGGTAGAAAACATCTTAAATCAAAAAAATCTATCAGCAAATTTATTAAAAACATTTTAAAAAATTTAGGCCGTGGTAAATTGAAGAAAATGGTTGGCCCAATTGCTTTGGCTATTGGTGCTAAATTGTTCGCTTTGGTACCTCTTTTGTTGGGCGGTTTGGCTTTGTTGACCACTAAGGCCATCATTGTTGCTAAAATCGCTTTATTCTTGGCCATTTTGGTTGGGGGTTCGAAATTTTTCGGCGGTTTAGGTAACAAATTCGGTGGTTCCTTAGGCGGTGGCTACAGTGCCAATGGTGCTGGTTGGTCCGCAGGTGCTTCTAACGCTGGTTGGTCCTCAGGTGCTTCTTCTGCTTATCCCTATGCCCGCAGCATCAATGTAGATGGTGATGCTCAAGAATTGGCTTATGCTGGTCAAGTTAATGCTCAATAATTCGATTAGTTAAATTAAAATTTAAACGAAAAGTTATAATTGTTAATTTAAATTAATTTATAACACACGCATTTAACATGCCCAACCAAATGTGCCTTTTGTTAAAACGAAACAAACACTTTAGTTAGTAGTAATTTATTTAAACACAAAAACACTTATAAAAAAACCACATAAATTATTTAATTTATTGTAATTTATTTAAACAAACCATGAAAAACAAAACACTTTAATTTTAAAAACGTGATTTTAAACATGACGTTGTTGTAAATACACATGTGTGACATTCTAGTTCAATTTTACCTTAATGAAACGACTCAACCTCATTTAAAATAGAAATCCCGAGAAAAAAAATAAATAATATAATTGCAATTTATTTAACCACAATTATTTTTATCGTTACAAATAGTATTTACGTTATATTAAATTTTAATTAAAACCCAAAATCATACCATAGACACAAACACACATAAATATACAATAATATTGTACAAATCATATGAAAGCGAAAAAAAAATATACATAAAAAATTAAAATATTTAAATTAACAATGCGTTTCAATCAGAACATTTTTTATTAGAATATTCTTATGAAGTGAAATCAAAATTGAAGATCGAGAATCGCGCTTTTTCAACTATTCAGCTAAATTATTTTAGAAAAGCACTAATGAAAAATGAAAAAAATTTTTCCTATTATAGCCCAATGTCAATTTAAGGTGACATTATTTTTACTGTTAAGATTCGGCTAAAAATCTCTGAAAATGATCATCTTATTTGGAATTTTTCAATATATACTTTCTTTTAAATTTTTAATAAATTTTTATTCGAGACTACAATATTTTTATTTATATCACAAAAATTCCAAATAAACTGGCATTTCCCTAGACAATAACTTCTAATAGAAATAGTTCAAAGGAACATATTGCCACTATTCCCAAGCTTTCATCGTTTTGGAAAGACGATCGTAAGATGTGGTTTATGCAAATTGAGTCCATATTTGAAATACCCGACATTATCCGTGTTAAAAGAAATTTACACAGAAAGAAAAATCTAGCCTAAAACGTACTTAAAAATTTATGAACTATATTATTACTTAAAACAATTGCTTACTCGTAATTTAATTACATATCGATATATGAAATTTATGTATTTCATACTTAATTCAAAAATACATTCACTCACATTCTAATATATAATTCTCATTTAGTTAAGAATATTTTTTCGGTAAGGAGTTAAGTTTTTGACGATTGGTATCACTTAATATGCGTGTTTTCTAGTCTATTCTATAGTCTAGTCTACTTAGTCTATAGTCTAGTCTAGTCTATAGTCTAGTTTAGTCTAGTCTCTAGCACAAAGTATACAGAGGTGTCACTTTTGACATTTAAAAAAAAATCTAAAATCAGCTTTTGTTTGATTTTGAAATTGTTTGGTGAGAAAAGGAATATAAAATACAGTTAAAAAAAATCATTGAAATCGTTTTGTGCGAAAGAGAGGGAAATAGTTTTTTGCTCGTGACGCCTCTGTATACCCTGTGTCTACAGTCTCGTCTATAGTCTAGTGTATCGTCTAGTCTATAGTCTAGTCTATAGTCTAGTCTATAGTCTAGTCTATAGTCTAGTCTATAGTCTAGTCTATAGTCTAGTCTATAGTCTAGTCTATAGTCTAGTCTATAGTCTAGTCTATAGTCTAGTCTATAGTCTAGTCTATAGTCTAGTCTATAGTCTAGTCTATAGTCTAGTCTATAGTCTAGTCTAGTCTAGTCTATAATCTAGTCTATAGTCTAGTATGTCTAGTCTATAATCTAGTCTAGCTATAGTCTAGTCTATAGTCTAGTCTAGTCTAGTTAGTCTAGTCTATAGTCTAGTCTATAGTCTAGTCTATAGTCTAGTCTATAGTATAGTCTATAGTCTAGTCTATAGTCTAGTCTATAGTGATAGTCTATAGTCGTGTCTATATTCTAGTCCTATAGTGTAGTCTATAGTCTAGTCTATAGTCTAGTCTATAGTCTAGTCTATAGTCTAGTCTATAGTCTAGTCTATAGTCTAGTCTATAGTCTAGTCTATAGTCTAGTCTATAGTCTAGTCTAGAGTCTAGTCTATAGTCTGTCTATAGTCTAGTCTATAGTCTAGTCTATAGTCTAGTCTATAGTTAGTCTAAAGTCTAGTCTATAGTCTAGTCTATAGTCTAGTCTATAGTCTAGTCTAAGTAGTCTATAGTCTAGTCTATAGTCTAGTCTATAGTCTAGTCTATAGTCTAGTCTATAGTCTAGTCTATAGTCTAGTCTATAGTCTAGTCTATAGTCTAGTCTATAGTCTAGTCTATAGTCTAGTCTATAGTCTAGTCTATAGTCTAGTCTATAGTCTAGTCTATAGTCTAGTCTATAGTCTAGTCTATAGTCTAGTCTATAGTCTAGTCTATAGTCTAGTCTATAGTCTAGTCTATAGTCTAGTCTATAGTCTAGTCTATAGTCTAGTCTATAGTCTAGTCTATAGTCTAGTCTACAGTCTAGTCTATAGTCTAGTCTATAGTCTAGTCTATAGTCTAGTCTATAGTCTAGTCTATAGTCTAGTCTATAGTCTAGTCTATATTCTAGTCTATATTCTAGTCTATAGTCTAGTCTATAGTCTAGTCTATAGTCTAGTCTATAGTCTAGTCTATAGTCTAGTCTATAGTCTAGTCCATAGTGTAGTCTATAGTCTAGTTTATAGTACAGTCTAGTCTATAGCCAGTCTAGTCTATAGCTAGTCTAGTCTTTTTTGTGACATGGTTTGTTTGAGTTTACGTTATTGGCAATATTGATAACATTTTTTTGCCATGCTTTTCGGATATTAGGGAATCATTACTATCAGATGGTACCTAGTAAGTATCAAACTTTTAAGCACCGCTTGATTAGAACAACTTCGACGACTTTTAAATAGATATAAATTAGTCGATCACAAACAATCACATTCACATCTTTAAGTTATGAGAATATGTTTTATATATATCGTTATATAAAACAATTAATGCCTTAGAAAATCAAAACGATAAAATTACGAGTCTACATTAACCAGAGAGTGTATGTTGGGATTAAATCAACTCCTTATAATCTTGATATATCTGTATTATGTCAAACCAAGCAGAGTAAATGTTGAAATTAAATAAACCCCTGATAATCCTGATATATCTCTGTTATGTCAAAAGATTGATGAATTAAAAAGAATTTAATATTTCTTCGCATAGCCCAAATCAAGAAACCAAAGCAAATCTCGTAATAAAGTGACACAATGTCCATGAGCATAGTAGCATAAATTCCCTGCCCTACCAATGATCATAAGTAATAATCATAAGCAAGCCAATATCAGGAAATTATTTTTGAAACTTGCTCAGAGCAAATACATGGGGGCAGGATAAAAGTTTTTTCCCCACAAAACCCATAATTTTTACAACTTAGCACTGACCTTGAGAATAAGTATCCAAAATACATTTCCCCACGCTGTTCAAGCTCACTTATTGATAGTCAATATTTCGAATACAAAAATAAATCAGTGTCAAGTTAACATATTATTCATAAATAAACTAAATGTAGGACCACTCATTCATCAGCAAGTTTTGTGATAAGTTCAAATATACAAGCAAAACTTTTCTTAAACTCACATAATTTTCCCTAGGACACAATTAACTTTTTCAATAAATATTTATTGTGCGTCTCTTAGATTACCAAAAAAAAATAACACACAAGATAGCAATAAAAAAATTACCCAATTAAATATGAATTTATTCACGTACAACAACGCATACATCATATTATAAGTAAATTTCTAAATCTGAAGAAAAAAAAAAATTAACTGTGTTGCCAACAAGAAATTCATAACAGTTATTTTATTTATTTTTGGGAAAACACCTGTGCTAAAATGTATTTTATTTTATGAGCTACACCTATAGTATAAGAATTGTTGAATCGTTAAGCTGTTGAATACAAACGATGAAAAGTTTTTGCATATTTCGTTGCATATGTCAAGAGTTGTGGTTATGATAGTTTAAATTTTAAAGCATATGTGCTAGGCGTAAGGTTGTTTATGCTGTTTAATGTTAGTAGGTTTATTACCAGTAAGTATTTATAATTGCAAAATATTTCTAGAAAATCTCACAACCTATTGATATGGAAAATTTCAAGGGAATCAGTACTTATGGTAAAAATATTTTTAACTATATGAGAATTATATTATTATTATTATTATTCATATAAATTATTTGAAACAATGTTAATTTCTACTTATTCAAAGCTGATTATGAATCAGCTTAAATTTTAAGTATGATTTCGTAGAATAGTAAAAATATCCTTAAATAAAAATTTTCCTAATAATCTCAATTTTCCAACGATAGCAGAGTGTAAGAAATTCGTTAGAAACTTATTTAGTACTCTATAATTGTTTGATATTCAATCATCATAGAAAAGAAAATGAAACTTTATTTTAATAATAATTTAGTAATACACAAACAATTTTAGCATAAATACATATTTGAAGCGACATGATGGTATTTCTCTTGATATACATACATACATATACGATGAGTATTAATTTATGTGTCTTTTAATGTCTAGTAACTCATATTTCATTATCAAAACACACAATTTCGTCAAATAAAACAGTTAGTTAAAAAGGCCTGACAGACCGGCAAATGGCAACGCATACAATGAATGTATCAAAATGACAGTTATTGATTATCAATTTATTACTTAAATCAAAATATTTCAATTACATAGTACACAAAAAATTAAGAATATTTTTCTACTTAAATAAAATACATTTTTATCTTTATCTTTTGACTTAAATTGAAATCTGCCTTAACTAATGTTAATATGTGTTAAAAAAAAATCATTGATTTTTTTTTATTTTAAATATAAAATTTCCAATATACTCGTTTACATATTAGTAGATAAATTTCTATATAATGACATTTGAAATTAACTTTCTTTCATCGCTTTAAGTATATTAACATTAAATACATATTTTGGGGTATTTATTCTCAAGACATGGATGTATGTGATGTGTACATTTCTTTAATATTTGAAATTTTTATTCCAAACGTGCTTAACTTATAAATGACTTCTTATGTTCATAAATATTTGATATTGAAATTTTTGTATTCATTCAATAATGATAATGTTTGTTGTACTTAGTTGTTATAGAAATCATTTGTGTCATTAATGGTAACACATTGAATGCTGTTAATTCAAATCAAATACATACATATATTTGGGTATAATGTTCATTTGATACGGTTTTAAAAAATGTTTAGAAAGAAATAAAATATAAGTTTTATTTTTATTTGATTTAAAATTTTTTTTAAATCTGCCACATAGGTGAGACTAATTTGGTTATTAATGTATCTAAAATGCATTTATAACAGGGATGAAAAATTCAATACTATTATTGTAATCTATTTTTTTTTAATTGCATAGTACATAAACTAGTTAATAGACTATTCAAAGACTAAACCAAAGTCTAGTTAATATACTAGACCTTACACTAGTTCATAAGAAAATATAATGGACAAATTACAAAACAAATAACAAAGACGTTCTAAATTGTTTGTGTAAATAAATGGGGAATTTCATGCCAAGTGACCCAATTAAAAAAATCGATTTTTACGAAATTTGCACTAAGGTTAGTACTATTGGATAGTACGTCAGCTCTATCGGTCAAGAACTGCCGGACTTAGAGGGGTCAAAGTTGGACATTTTGATCATACAGGGTTTTATTTCAATGTGTGTAACTTTTCACCTATTGGTCCTAGCAAAGGAGTTTAGATAGCTATTTCTTCATTCTTTCCGATTTTTTTAATTTTTAAATTTTTCTTTAATTTTTTCAAAATGGGCCTTTATTTTGCTTAAAAGAATGCTTATACAATTTCCCTTGAAGGGCTTTATAGTCTCATAATGGGAGTGGGATATCTATAAAAAAAATTATTTTTTAACTCAAGAATAATTTTTTTCAATATTTGGCACTTAATTTTCCCCTATTTTTTAAAATGGATCAAAATGTTGATTTTTTTTTGTTGCCTTTTTTGCCCAAAATAAAGCTTACACCATTTCCTTTAAGAGCTTTGTGGTCACTTAAGCCCCCTTTACACGAGCACACAAGTAATATGATCTGTCAAAATTTTGTGTAGAAGAGAACGGATGAGATCATCTAAATCATCACACATTGAGAGAAAATACGAATGGAAAATTTGACAGTCGTATGGCTCTCTTCATTTTTTGAAATGATTCAAAAAACAAGCAAGTCGCGTTAGATCAGGGGTGTATTTTTATGTAAACACATACAAAAAAGTGAAACAGCTGTTTCCATCTTACTTTGTTATTGTTTATACCAATCGTGTAAACACAAAAAATATAAATCATACGACTTTTATTCTCTTTTTTGTCATACGGATGGAATTTCATTTTACTTTTTCATTAGACTTGTCGTACGTAAAGTGTGATCGTCTGAAGTTTTCATCAATCACACTTCTGTACTTTTTGTAATAATATTATTTTCACATATCATGGGACCAGGTACTTTTGAATCACTTGAATTGATACAAAAATAGATAGTTTTGGGATAAAACAGTAAAAATTTGAATTCGATATGAATTAAAAAATTCGACAGTTATAAAGATTCTGAATTAATTGCAGGGAAATTTCGAGCCAAGCTTTTTTAATTCATTCAAAAATCTTCCTCATTTATGCATACGACTCAGGTACAGCTCTTCCTTTTAAAAATCATAAAAATAATAATAGTTATAAAGACCTCTAAATTGAACCAGTTTTCATACAAAAAAACTTGATGTTACTATTTATGGCCAGGCTAGACTAGGACGGCCGATCATTACAAAAATCGGCATAGTCATTTATGACTATATAAAACTTAGTTGTGCTAGTTGTGTGTTAGATAGCGATTGTAACGTAGTTATGAGTTAAAACCCCAAATCGGAAGGTCAGGTTGTATGGGGGCCAGGTGAAATAATGGACCGATAAAGCATCAATAATCATCATCCTTGTGGCCAAAAAACACGTATGGTCCAAATTTTATTAAAATATCTTAAAAATTGTGGCTTGTAAATTGCATAAGGTTTACATGGACATTCAGCCAGACGGACGGACATGTCTTAATTGACTCAGAAAGTAATTCTGAGTTATCGTTATACTTCAAGCTGTAGTATCAATATTTTGTGCGTTACAAACATCAGCACAAACGCATAGTACACTCCCCACTACAGTGCTGCAGGGTATAAAAAATATGGAAAATTGTTGGTTTATTTTATTTTCACATGAAGTTTTATTTTTTTAGTGAAAAATTAACTTTTTGATTTTATATGACGATATGTCTATTTGTTCGCAAAAATATTGAGGTCGAAAAAATTATTGGGAAAATGAAATGCTCCCTAAACAATATAAATAAAAACTTTAAGATTTTTAAAGATTCGAACTATAATGGTTTCCCAGATATACGTATTTAATAGTCTAATAGTTTCCCATTTATATGAATTTTAGTATTTATCTCATAAGGGAGGTATCCCGTCCCTAATTCTAGTTCGCCACTTTATTAATGATAAAGTTCTTTGCGCAAAATTTGAGAATTCCAACTATAATGTTTGTATTTAATTTATATGGGAGGTACCACGCCCCTATTGTTTGTCCGCCAATTTAGCACCCAAATGTTAACTCTAATTTACATGCATGGTAACAGACAAAATTAGATAAATTTATTAAAAAATCTTAACCATGGGAAAAGTTTTACAGAGAACACCACCTGAAATTGGAATAACTGCTTATAAATAACTACTTCCTTCCTAGTTACCATATCATATATTCCGTATGATTTTCAATAAAAACTTAACAAAACTATTATTCAAATGAAATTGAAAGTGAATACTATGGCTGGTGCGTAAGAATACCAGAAAAATATAGGCCACTTAGAACACTAAAATCAGAAAAAAGCATTAAACTAGACAAAAAAAAAAATACCGTTTTTAAGAACCAAACAAGGTAAACAAATACCGGTAAGTATTAAAAAAGAAATATATTTTTAATAAAAAAATATGTACAACTGAACACTTAAAATATTTGGAACGCCTACAAAGTGGTAAAGAAGACACGATGAGGAAGAACAACAAGACAACAATAAAATGAAATGGCACATTTAACTAAAATTGAAAATAAATAAAATACAATAAAATAAAATTGGAAATGAAAAAAAAAAATATTATATGAGTAGAATATTGATTGATTAGAGGACAGACAAAAACACCGACAGAGTTGGAGGTGGGGACGGACAGACAGATTGGTCAGGCTTTTAAAAGTTGGTGACAGAAATGTTATTTGTTGTAAACAAAATATAGGACATTTAAATAATAAGTGTGTTTAAAACTTTGGTTTGTTATTTTTTACTTTTATAATTTGGCTAAATAATGAATATTTTTTAACTTTAAAGAAGCAGTTACAAAAAAGCAACAACAAAAATAGTAAATGAAATAGACTTCCCTTTCGTTTGAAATTGTGGAACGTGGTTGACGATATTTTGTAACAATAAGTGACGTGCGTCCGTCAGTTTGACTTTACTTAACACTGTCTGTCCATCTTACTTCTATGATTAAATTTTAACTTTTGGCCATACATTTTGTAAAGATTATCATTATGGTCAATGAATAATTGTTGTAATTGTAAACTGTTGTACCTGTAGTTGTTATTTTTTGAATATGTATGTCTATGTACGAGAGAGTCTCTAGTATTGGCCGTTATTGTAATTTGTTAGTAAAATGGCTCAAAGAAGTTGTCTACAACTATTAACCATTGAAGGCATTAGAGAAATGTTTATGTGTATGAGTAGTTTTTTTTCGTATTTTGCCTAGTTGTTGTTTTTATAAAATTTGAATAAATTTTAAATAATGCAGTGAAAAATATTTTATAATTGTGTTTGTTGTTGCTACTTATTGATTATTTTTTTGGTTTTTGAATAAATTAATTCAAAACCGAAACTTGCTATACATTCTTAAAGGTATTGCGCACACACACACACACACAACTGCACACAAAACTACTGTATGTGAGTGTTTAGCGAATTTGAAGACCAAGAAAGACTGACTAAACACGGACAGACAGACATATTTGGGCATATGGAAAAAGTTTTCATACATATTGTCGCTTCTGTATATTCACTATAATAATTTTTGTGAATTTGATTTTGAACACAGTCGAAAGTGTCATCGCATTATAAATACCCATGGTGGACACTTCATCAATCACAAAACATTTCCATCATTCAAAGCCAACTGTTGTGTGGTGTGTAGTGCTAACAAAGTTTATTACAAACTAAAAAAAACCAAATCAGTCAAGGATCGTATAAACGAACGACAAACCAACCAAAACCAAAAAAAAATTACAAATTCTTTAAAAAGAAAAATAAATTAAATTAAAAAAAATGTATTCTAAAATCGTTTGTGTTGTATTTGTTGCCACCTTTGTGTGCAGTGCTGTCGCTTTGCCCAAACAGGATACCAATGAAAAGGATTTAGTTAACATGATCAATAAGATCGATGCTGAACCATCATTGCCATTGTTTGGTGGTCTTCGTGTTGAACGTGTTGAATCCGGTCGTGCTTTCGGTGCCTCCAACAAAGCTGTTGAATCCTTCGAAGAACGCGCTGAACGTTACTTGCAATCTCACCAATTGAACTTCTCCTTCCCCGATACCGACGAAGAGGAAGAAGATGAGTTCAATGGTCGCGCCATGGAAGGTGAGTTATAATACATATACAAAAAACAAAACAAAGTGCTAAAGTGAAATTAAAATATTAAATTTGAAATGCCTTAAAAATAGCTTAAAGCTAGAAGCTTTTCAAAATACCCTTAAAAGCTAATTGAATGTCTAGAGCTTTAAACTTCATATTCAGGACGAATATTTGTTCTTAACTTTAAAAAAGCTATTCTGATATAGCTTTAAATTAAAAGCTTTTGAATAATTTTAACACAAACTTAAACAAACTTCAAAAATTCATTAAAATGTGACAAATTTTCATAACTAAAGCTTAAAGCTATCAGCAACTTCTTATATTTTGTGCAAAGCTTTTAAGCATGCACTAGCTTTAAAACTAAAAATCACAAGAATTCCTACATTCCACTTCATACAGACTCACAAAAGTGCTCTAACTGTTAACAATTTATAAATAAATAAATATTCATCCCACTTGTCTTAAATAGCTTTTATAGCTTATTAACAATATTTTTGAATATTTAATTATACATTTCATAATTTAGCCCAATAACTAAATATTACGTCTTTGAGTATTTCCTTATAAGGCTTTTGTGAAAGTTTTGGAATTTTTGTAAAAAAACAAATTAAAAATTTAACAATTTGTGTTTTCATGCAAATATATAACATTTGGCTCTCAAATCAAATCAAAAATTTCAAACTTCCTTTTCTAGACTTTGTAATGAGTTTTCGTAACACTTTGTTTTTGTCTCTCGCAGTTCACTTTCATTAACTCAATATTTAATTTCAAAATAACATTTTTTCAAAAATCTACTCACGTATTTTTAAGAAAAAAATATGTATTTTTTTTTTTGCCTCATTCAGTCTGTCTAAAAACAAACCAACCAACCTTTTTTCCTTAGTGACACATGTTGTAAATACTTGATGTGTCTTTCTGCCTGCTTCTATGGGTATTTTTTTTTTTTTTTTTTGTATTTAAGACTTTCTCTATGAACACAAAAAAATTTATAATAATCTTTAAAAATTGGCACGTAATCCTACAATGTGTTGTATGAACACATTAAAAAAAAAAAAAACAAATTTTATACAAAATTGTTTAGGAATTAGATTAAAGCAAAAGAAACAAAATATTATGGAAATTATTTTCAAAGCAATTGTTTAATACAAGTGATAATTGGCAAAAGTTTTTCCCTATTCTAGTCTTCCTTGTCAAAAAAAATCTTCTCTCTACTAAATTTTTAAAATAATTACACCTGATTATCACATTTTTGGCTAATGTGTCATGCTTTTAAAGATATTTAAAAAAAAGTGAAATTTATCTTACTTAATTTTAGTTTTACATAAACAAAAACATTAAATTAAAAGTTAAATATTAAATAATAAACAAATTAAACTACAAAAAAGCATGACAAATGACAATAAACGACATTTGAAAACATTCACACTTCAAATTATTGCTTTTCAAATTACTACATATTAAATTAAACAATAACAACAATAAATAAAATATATGAGACAACAATTATTTAAATTAAAAAAAAATTAAAAGAAATTCAAGCTTAATAAACGTTACTTGGAAAAAGCTTTAATTCAAAACCAAATCTTTTAAAACTACAGCATAACTTAAGGCTTATATTAATTTCAAAAATTTTCTTGTTTCTCTTTAATAGAACCCCGCAGTAAGAAAATGAAGAAAATGTTGTTGCCTTTGCTCTTGGCTTTGAAATTGAAGAAGGCTGTCATCGTTAAGGTCCTCTTCATGATCATCAAGTTCATCTCCCTCAAGAGTTTGGCTATCTCTTTCTTGGCTCTTTTCTTCGCTGGTAAGTATTTTAAACAAATCTCCCACATTTAAGCTTTTAACTTATTAATTCTAATATTTAAATCTTTTCATTCTCATTTAAGGTGCCACTTTCTTCAAGGATTTGTTGGGCAAGAAGAAGGAACACATCACCACCGCTTACATTACCGGCAGTCCCTTGAACGCTGAAATTGTCCATTCCGACTGGAACCGTAATGGTCAAGCTGCTGCCTCTGATTTGGCCTACAACCACTACGGTTTGGCTCAACCTTTCTAAACTGTCTCTTTCTTAGTCTCTCAGCTTTCAAATCTTTTCTTCTAACTATCCTTTCTTGCTATCTTCAACTATCTTTCTCTTATTTCTAAGCCTTCACAAACTATACTATCCTTCTCTCATTTTCCACCAAAACAAAACTAAATTTTGATTAGTTTTAGAATTTAGTCAACATATAATAATTTATTTAGTTTAATTAATTTATTTAATTAGCTGCTTTAAACCAAAAAATCTTTATCTATAAAACCAAAAAATTTCCTCTACCACACATTCCTCCCCCCCTCTACAAAACGACCAATGGCTATTTTGGACAAAGCTTCTCGGTTCATAGCAAATTGTTCCGGGTAAACAAAAAAAAATCTAGAAAAAAATTCATCATTAAAAAAGTAATTTATTTTTGTATCATCATGCAACATTCATCCCATAAATACCTTCCAAGCTTCCCGATTGAAAGCAAAATTGCTTTGCGAAAATGTAAAATTTTCTACGATTTTATTTATTGAAATCTAAGTCTTTTATAATTTATGTATTTAATATTTGTTTAATAATTTATTTATTAATTTATAATTTGTTTTGTACATAGAGAACTCAGGTTGTATTTCATATTTAAAAGGAAAATTTTATTATTTTTTTTAAATTATCCATCATCTTTGAAAAACAATTTTGTTTTCAATTTTGATTTAAAGCTCTAAATGGAAAAACCAAAACGCATAATAATTTATTTTCATTAATTTTAAGTATTTATAAAAGAACAAAAATAAAAACAAAGAATATTTATTAAAAAATTAAACAAAAAATGACAAAGCAAATTGAATAAAATAAAAATTCATTAAAAAGCATTAAAATTTATTTGGTATTTTTATTTATATACATATATTCTTATTTCAGCAATAATTAATAAAAAAACATTTATTAAAATATTTTTAATTGATTAAGTGACTTTTTTGATTTTTTTTATTGCTGCGGTAAAAAGTCATATATAAAAATTGAAAAAAAAAATCATAAGCATACACAAAAGCTAAAATAAAATTGATTTATTCTTTAATTTAAATCAAATTTAAAATTTTTAAGGCTAAACATAAGCTTATCTACAAAAGATAATATAATAAATAAATATAAAAAAATTAAATAATGAAAACATTATTCATAAAATAAGCATTCAAAAGTTTAAAACAATGAAAATTAATAAAAAACTGAAACTATTAAAAAAAAAATAAATTGAAATTTAGATTCTAATGATATCGAATTTCGTGTCAAGTGACCCAACTCAAAAAATCGATTTGGATGAAATTTCCACCAAGGTTAGTACTATTAGATAGAAGTCCAGAAACATATTTTCAGCTCTATCGGTCAAGAACTGCAGAAGTTGCCCATATATATTATTCCTCTGAAGCGAAGCAGTTGGAACATCTGTCGATCTTCTTTATGTCATAACTAGCTATACCCAGTGTGCTTTGTTTCCATAAAAGCAATTATGTATAAATAAACAAGTAAGAAATTATAGTCGGGCGAGGCCGACCATACTATACCCTACACCTTTGACAAAAATATAATGTGATTTAGTTGCTATAATAAAGCATTTAACTTAAGCGAAATTTTGTAATTAATTCATATATGTGGTGCCAAGCCACCCATTGAAAGTCCGCCCTTTATTCTCTAAATGTTCCCATGAATGTCAAAGTTCTTCATGTAAAATTTGAAAATTCTAGCTCTAATAGTTTCTCAGTGGGGGCTTCAAGCTCCCCAGATAAAAGCCCGCACTTTATCCCTAAAATGATCAGATGAATATTAAAATAATTTGTGCAAAATTTTAAGAATCAAGTTCTATTAGTTTCCCAGATAAACGAAATTTTATATGTAATTCATATGGGGGGTGCAAAGTTTCCCATTGAAAGTCCGCCCGTTATACTCTAAATGTTCAGATGAATGTCAAAATTCTTCAAGTAAAATTTGAAGATTCTAGCTCTAATATTTTCTCAGATATACAAATTTTTATATTTATTTCAAAAGGGGGCTTTAAGCCACCCCCCCCCCCTCCAGATGAAAGTCCGCTCTTTACCCTCCAAATGTTCGTGCAAAATACGAAGAATTTAGTTCTTTTAGTTTCCCAGATAAACGAATTTTTGTATTTAATTATTATGGGAGGAGCCGCTCCCCTCATGCGTAGTCCGCCAATTTATTATCCAAAATGTTTAAATGGATGTTAAAGTTATTCGTGTAAAATTTTAAGATTCTAACTTTAATAGTTTCTAAGAAAAATGAATTTTTGTATTTAATTTATATATGAGGTGCCACGCCCCTAATGCTAGTCCGCCTACTTTTTGTCCTAAATAAATCATATTGACACTAAAGTGGCTCCGACAAAATTTGATGACTCTAACTGTTACATTATATCAAATATACGGATTTAATACTTTCCTAATATGGGCGTGGCTCACCGCCCACTTGGAATTTCAAAATAGCCCATTACCTATTCCAGACATGCAGGAATACGCTGTGAAAATTTGAAGAAAATCGGTTCAGCCGTTTAGTAGTCTATAACGTTCAAACATACAAACAAACACACATTCATTTTTATATATATAGATAGATGTCACTAAAAATATCATTCATCTTCTTTCCATAGCAAATGTCACATTTTGCTTGTCCGTACTCATAATTAATAAGCTCTGTTTTTTATTAAAAAATTATATTGTCCATTCCACTGTGTTTAGTATTCAAATTTTACCTTCTTTACCTCCATTATCTAAATGTCTAGCTATATTTTACCGTGACATTAAATTTACAGTTTTCATACAAATATTATTTTAAATGACAAAATATCCATTTAAATTTATCACAAGTTGCAATTTATTGTTGTAATTAATGCTGTTATTAAATAATGACAAACATGAGAACTTTAATTGATTTATTTAAAATGTCAACAACAAATTAATTTTATTGCAATTACGCTGCTAATTATTATGAACATATGCTCATTAACAAATACACCAGCCCTGCAAAAAGAAAATAATTTCCATAGAAACGAAAAAGAAGTACTGAAACAGACCTTCAGAATTAATGATTTTAACACAGGCTTGTAGGGATTATGTCAAAATGTTTCTTTCTTACATTAGCTAAAGATACATAATATACATATTTCTCTTATACTCTTTGGCCCACAGTACAATGTCCGTCTATTTGAAATTTTCGAGCCACAGGTCATAATTATGAATATAACTTGAAAAGATTTAGTAGACATAATCTACAAAGTCAGGGGACTATTTCCAATTATTTTCGTTGAAATCAGACTACAACTTCAACTATCTCTAATATAGATAACCGGCTTTAATTTGTTTCCAATATTTTTGCATATCATAGTTTTTTTTATACCCACCATCAAAAAAGATGGGGGTATATTGATTTTGTCATTCCGTTTGTAACACATCGAAATATTGGCCATAGACCCATAAAAGTATATATATTCCGGGTCCTTATTAAATTCTAAGACGATCTAGCCATGTCCGTCTGTCTGTCTGTTGAAATCACGATAGGGACCACACGAGAGGAGCTAGACAGTTGAAATTTTGCATAAATATTCTCTATTGCTAAGGTTTATTTGGTATTGAAAATAGGCAATATCGGTCCAATATTTCTGATAGCCCCCATACAAGTGGACCTCCAAAAAACAGCTTTAACGGACATAACTGCTTTAGAAGTACGAGTATAGGGATGAAATTCGACATAAATAAGTTTCATATGAGCCAAAATCTTTCTACCAAATTTTTTGAGGATCGGCCCATAAATGACCCTACCCCTAATATATGGTCCCCTTCAGAAAATTACTTTAACACTCATTACTGGCCTAAAAATTCGAGTATAGCGATGAAATTCGGTATAAGTAAGTTTCTTACGAACCAAAACCTTTTAACCAATTTTTTTTAGGATCGGCCCATAAACGACCCTACCCCCCATATAAGTTCCCCTTCAGAAAATGATTTTAACACTCATTACTGGCCCAAAAATGCGAGTATAGTGTTGAAATTCGGTATAAATAAGTTTTTAACGAACTAAAACCTCTCTACATTTCTATTTTAGGATCGGCCCATAAATGACCCTACCCCCATATACGGTCCCCTTCTGAAAATGACTCTAACACTCATTACTGGTCCCAAAATGGAAGTATAGCAATGAAATTCTACATAAATAAGTTTCATGTGAGCCAAAATCTTTCTACCAAATTTTTTGAGGATCGGTCCATAATTGACCCTACCCCCATATAAGGTCCCCTTCAGAAAGGACTCATTTATAACTGACCCTAGCCCCTATAAAAGGTTTCCTTCAGGAAAGAGTTTTGGCTTTGAAATACGAGTTTTCCTTGTTTAAAATAAGAGTATAGCGCTGAAATTTTGCATAAACAAGTTCTATACAAACGAAATCTATGTACAAAATTTTATGAGTATCGGTTCATAATTAACGCATATAAAGGTCCTCTTCAGAAAATTACTCATACGCTCACGGTTTAAAAATTTAAATAAAATATTTGGTTTTTAAAAATTAATATTTTGTTAGTTCAAAAGAGCTCGGTCCATAATTGACTTAAGCCATATTCCAAATATCACCCTGATGTTTATAGGGGAGCATTCCTTTTATGGCATACAGTTTGATGGTGGGTATATGAGATTCGGCACAGCCGAATATAACACTCTTACTTGTTACTTTTTTGAAAATTCAAATATCGCTACAAAATGTTTAAAGCTTAAGTCTGATTTTAATAAAAATTTGGTGGGTATATTGCTCCATATATATGGATTGTGACCTAATTTTTTTTTAAATTTATATTTGTAAAAATCTGTAAATATCACGCTTAGCGAGGGGTTCCCCAACACGTACAAACTCCTATTAACTTGAATGTTAATTTTTATACCCTTAGATAGCGTAAACCTTATTTGCCCAGCAAAAATAAAACGAAGTACTTCCAAAAGAATAACATTTATCACCATTTCAAAAGTAGCACTAATTGAATTTTTTACCTTATGAGGAAGTGATGTTTAAAGACTTCCGAAGAAGCGAAAATAATTATATTTTTTCAATGCTGAAGATAAATTTTATATTTGGGCTTTTGTATTAAATTTTAATGTTGAATTAATGTTAATATTATTTAAGTCAAATTAGTTGTATTCTATAATACTACAATTTCACTTCCGAACAACTTCCAAAAAAGAGCATTAAAATTACTTCTTAAAAATTACTTCAGAAGTAGTGAATTTGGAATCAAATAAAAAGAATATCCCTCCTATGACAAGCCTGTGTTAAAATCATCACTTCTTCAGGTCTTTTTCAGTACTTCCATGGAGTAAATTCTACTTCTTTTTCGCTTTTTTGGAAGTTCTTTTTTGTCATATATAAATGGGAAACCCTTGAGACGGCAGTTTTGTTAAGGAAATTTTAAAATTTTAGGAAAATGTTCAAGTGACTCCTGGACAATAAAGAAGGAAATATAATAGCAAAGATATTATATCGATATCTCTCACTTATTAGCGTTAAGTGCGATTTGAATTTTGTGGTTTTCGGAAAAAAAATGTTTGTTAAATTTTTTTTAAAAACATGCTTCATTCTTTACTGTTATGCATTTTATATAAAATCTTTTTAGAATATAAAATTCGAGATAATTGAAAATATACATCTCAAGTTTTAGTAAAAATCTAATAATCTTAACCCATGAACTGTGAAGGTCAAACTCAACTCAAGCTATATTGGGAAATCCTTTGAAACCCTAGTGAAATATTATTTTGTTTTCAACCGATTTAAATGAAACTTATTATATGAAATGTGCGTAATATATGAACAAAATATTCGATGCCATTTTGCAAGAAAATGGTGGGTGATAGAAAAAATAGATATCAGATTCGGTTTCAACAGCTAAAAATACATTAAAAATAGTCCAATTGGCTTAAAAAATTCATTTCGTTGGCGTGTGTTATTTTAACCGACAATATATCTACGGTTAAACAATATTTTGAGTTTAAATTTATCACTATTTGCAATTTGTTGCAGTAAATTATGCTGTTAATCAATAAAGACAAACATGAGAACATTAATTAATTTATTTAAAATGTCAACAAATTAATTTGATTGCAATTACGCTGTTAATTATAATTATAAACATATTATCTTAAACAAATACATCATGTATAACTTAAAGTGATTGAAACTCATCTAAATTTTCTCTCACAGTGATGGTTAATTATACCCTACACCACTTTAGTGGGGAGGGTATATTGGGTTTGTGCTGATGTTTGTAACATACAAAAATATTCGTCCTATACCCACCTTAAAGTATACCAATCGGCTTAGAATCGTTTTCTGAGTCGATTAAGATATGTCCATCTGTCCGTCCGTCCGTCTGGCTGGCTGGCTGGCTGGCTGGCTGGCTGTCCATGTAAACCTTGTGCGCAAGGTACAGGCAATTTTCAAGATAATTGGATGAAATTCGGCACACACTCATTTTTTGACCCAAGGACGAAGCCTATTGAAAATGGTTAAAATCGGTCCATTATTTCACCTAGCCCCCATACAACAGAACCCACCAAGCTCCCATACAAAGTCCCCTTCAGAAAATTACTTCAATGTCCAAAATTAATTTATAAACACAACTATCGCGATGAAATTCAGCACAATAAAATATTATGTAAATATAAATATATTCACAAAATTTTATCGGGCTTGGTCCGTATTTGCCCCTAGCCCCCATATAAAGCCTCTTTCAGAAAATTAGTTTTTCATCCATAAATTGCTTAAATGTATCGGAACAATTACGTGAATGTCCAAAATTAACTTATAAACACAAATATGTAACAATAAAATATTATGTAAATATAAATATATTCACAAAATTTGATCAGGCTTGGTCCATATTTGCCCCTAGCACCCATATAAAACCTCTTTCAGAAAATTTGTTTTTCATTCATAAATTGCTTAAATGTATCGGAACAAGGTAATAGAAGATAAATGCTTTATTATGAAAAATAAATCACATATAATTTTCATAACTGGTGTAGGGTATCATATGGTCATCATATGGTCACGCCCGACTATACTTTCTTACTTGTTTTTAAATAACGAAAGAACCAACATTGATGGAAAACAAAATATTTTTTTTTTTTTTTTTTTGACTACTAAAATATATTGAAAAGAAAATAGAAAAATATTTCAAACCCAAAAAATATGTTAGTAGTGGTCAGTTGCTTTTTCACGGGAAAGTGATAATGGGGTGGGCCTATGAAATATAAAAACAAAAAAAGTTTTTACTTTCATTTGTCACTTGCTCAAAATGTATCTTGCTATTGAAATATTTACAAAAAATATATATATTATGTGGTGACGTTTTTTTTCACTATTCAAATATTGCTACACTTCAGTGAATTTAAAATGGAAACTTTCTTACAAACAAAGTAAAGATAAGTAGAAAAATAAAGAAAACCGAGAGATTCTCCTCTAATGAAACAATTAAAATGAAGAAAAACAAATAAAGAATTTTGACCACAAATATTGTCAGCTCATTATGCTGGCCATATAATTAAGACATTTTTTGTCATGTTACATTTTTGAAAATTCAAAAACTTGAACTGAGAGTTGGAGGTATAAAAAGAAATTGTCATAAAATAAAGTATATTAGTTTTATTTCTAACTTTAAAACAACATCATAATCAGCTGTAGTTTATTAAAATGCAGACATGCAAAACTTTGGAATATTTATTTTATTTGGCCTTATTCGTATTGTACTTTAAGTTGGCGGAATCAGCTTCCATAGATACAATAAATATTTCTACGACATCGATTACATCGCCATCTGCTAAGGATGTTTTGACTACTACCGCTAGATCAATGACAAATAGGGGAAGCGTTAGAAACGTTGAAGGTGGCAGTAAATTGAAACGCACTTTAGAAGAATGTAATAGTTCTTTTAGTTGGATGTGTTTAAAATTGGAATTTGTCAGAATACTAGAACGTCTTACGGAACGTGAGGAGTTACGTTTGCTAAATGGCATAAGTGTGGTTAAAGATCCAGAGGCAAAGGAAATAAAAACGTCGGAATTGATGGCTGGTAAGGTTTTATAATCAAAATTCAATTTGATCTATATAATCAAATACACTCATTATACCCTACGCATCTAAATATAGTGGGAAATATTATGGAGAATAGATATAGTCAGATATTAATGGTTTTATTTATACCAAATGTCTAACATTATCGGATTGTGTGTTAAGAAGCACTAAAAAAACAATTATTTTTTATTACAGAGGTTGCTCGCAGTTACCCCAATGATCCAGATGCCCGTTTAAATGGTTACATTATCAATAAAGTCAATAATTTCTTGCAAACTCATTATTTGCGTTTTAAACTTATTGATGATCATACCATAGAGGAAGCTCGTTCTCTAGTCGAAACCGGACGTAAAGATAAATTTGGCAAGAAAGGTGGCATGGAAGCTTTAATAGCAGCTGGTCTAATGATGAAGGGTAAGAATAAAAAAACTTGACATTATATACAAATTATAAACATTCTTCTATGACAGGTACCTTAATGGCCATGGGTATGGGTGGTATAGCTTTAATTGCTGGTAAAGCTTTAATGACCGCCCTAATGGCTTTAACTCTAGCAGCAGTGGTAGGACTTAAAAGTCTAGCTGGTGGTGGTGGAAAATCTCATACATATGAAATTGTTACAAAACCCATTTACACATCTAGTCACTCACATTCAGTATCACATGAAGACGGTGGTCATGGCGGTCATATGGGTCACAGCGGCAGTGGTTATGGTGGTTATGCCAGATCATTGAATTTAAGTTTGCCTAAAAGTTTGAGAGCGAGCGCTAAAGTGCATTGATTTGGAAAATAGTTGAAATGTATAGAATTTCTGAGACTAATAGTCGTATAATTTAAATTATTTATTACTAGGTTAAGATTTAATTTATTATTTAAAGTTTAATAAAGACAGAAAAAACTAAAGCAAGTTCCATAAAAATCTACACTAAAACACATTTTCTCAATATCTATCGGTAAATATAGGATAATTTAAAAAAAATTTCAACAAAAAAATAGTATTTTGTACACGACCCTATACGATTTTGATGAAATTCGGTACACACGTTCTTCGTGTAAATACGAAATTTAAAGTTATCCAAAATTTCTATATTCGTCACGGTTTAGATTTCATCGAGGTTCAAAATTCATATTGTTTACGATTTTTTCAACAAGCATTAAATTTAAGACCGCATATTTTCTAATCTATATATCCGAATTTAAACGTAATTAAAGCCTATATCTTGTAGTTTAACAATATGGAGTTTAACAATATGGATATATGTGAAGGAATAAAGAAAATGGTAGTTACCTGTTTTGATATATCCTTGACTAAAGAGCGTTTTTTCTTATAATTATCCTAATGTTAAAACTAAAACATTTTAAATAAAATATTGTCAAACGACAAAACATAGGCCAAATTCAGCCGTTAAGGAGTGATTGCGGAACAAACAGACTTACAAAAGATATAAAATTTTCATGAACTAGTGAAAAAACATTTTTTTTAGCTCTTCTGAACACTTGTGTTTTTAGGACTTCTTTGTTAAAAAGTATACATTTTAGCTGATCAAAAAAAAAAAAAAAATCTATATTTTTTGGGTGTTTATTTGTTCATGATCACTTTATAGGTTGAATATAGATAGTAATTGTGAAAATAATAATAATGAAATAATAATATTATGGTCACTTGTTTTAATATATTTAAGAATGTATGAAGCCTTCTGTCAAACTTTATTTTTCAAATCTTTACACCATTCGGGGTTTTTTTAATGTCCGATTTATCATCTTTTTTTCTAAAGCTCCTAGCAATACTGCTCTTAAAACAAAACACATCCATATACATATGGTCAATTTTGTGTCATGTGACCCAAATCAAAAAAATCGATTTGGATGGTCACTACCGTACTTAGAGGGGGTCATAGTTGGGCATTTTGGTAATACAGGGTTTTATTGAAATGAGTGTAACTTTTTACCTATTGGTCCTATCAAAAATTGTCAAAAGAATTTAGATAGCTATTTCTATTCGTTGTTTACAATTTTTGTTCAGATGATAATAGCTTCTACAATTTCCCTTAAGGGCTTAGTGGGATGCGATTTGGATATTGATTTAGATTCAAAGTTTTGAATGCCAACTAAAAAGTTATCGGGATATATCCTGTTTCAACGTGAAAGAATATCGAAAATTTGCCTTTTAAGGATCTTTATCTTTTTATGAAAAAAAAAAATGTTTTCCGATAAAAGTCCATTTAAATATTAGCCTTTAAAATAATAAAAACTATTAAAAGAAAATGCTACTAAAGGTGAAAAAATATGCCTGAAATAATATTGTAACTTTCGATTCCGATTTCTCATCATAATGGTTAAGAGTTTTGGGCTCTTTAATTTCAAAAAATTTGAATCATTTTCTATAATAATACAAGTTGAAATATTATTTTTGATGACTTAGTTTTTGAGTCACGGTGGACTTTTCGGTGGAAATGCCCATATGTATTTCAAATGTAATAAAATACACAATAAACGTAAAATATACATATTATTTACTACGTTGCATACTTTTAGACATATTTTTTTTTAATTATTTTAAAAGAGCATGCGCAACCCACTTAATGTTAACATAGTTGAAGCTAGCAATCGTTAGAGGGAGCCATATTTTAAATAAATAGAAGGGTTTTTTAAAAAAGTACTTAATATGTAATTTACTAATTGCGGGGAAATTCATTCATGGACCAAATATTTATACGTTTCAGAACAATTTAAGAATTTTCATCGTTTTTTTAGGGCATATTTTTACCCATAAGAACAAAATTTTGCATGATTTGATTCGGACTTTGATTCAAAGTTGGACATTTTGGTCATACAGGGTTTTATTCAAATGAGTGTAACTTTCCACCTATTGGTCCTAGCAAAAATTATCCAAAGGAGTTCAGATAGCTATCTATTAATTTTTTCTAAAAAAAAAATTTTTTTCTAAAAAAATATTTTTTTTTTTCCAAAAACTCCCCTTTAGACAATTTCTTTTAAGGGCTTTATAGTCCCATAATGCGATGCGAGTACAAAAATGGACGTTTCAAAATGGAAGTTTTTGATGTATTTTTTTTTCTCAAATGAAAGGTTCATTAAAAGCTTTGTGGTCTCTTAGTAGGATTTAAGGGGCATATGTAAAAATTAATATTTGAACTCAAACACATTGCATTTTGAGTTGAAATAATGTATATTAATTTATCGCTCCAATAAGATTAAAAAACAAAATCAATCAAAAATTGTAAAAGTTATTACAAAATTATTTAGTGTTACAAAACACTTAAATGTGAAATATTTTAAAATATTGAACACATTTTGGGAAATATTCTAATAAAACTTGTCATTACATTAAATAAGTTCGTATTAACTTAAATGTGAGTTTTAACTTCATTATATAGTTTAAATTGTATTTGGGCTATAGTGATAAATGGAAAATTCTTCAGGCGTCAGTTTCAAAACTCCAGTTTCAAACTTTTAACATGTGATTTTTCTTTGTCCATGTGATTTATGGACAACAAAGATGGGAATCAAATGGTAAAGAAATTAGGTCGATAACTCCCACAGAAAAGAATTTTTTTGTAATATTTTTGAAAATTAGACTTAATTCCTTACTGTTGTGCATTTGATATAAAATTCAAGAACTGTGAAGGTCAAACTCTAGCTATGCTATATAGGAAAATTTTCTTGAAATCATAGTGAAATATTTTATTTGTTTTCAAGGGATTTAAATGAAACTTAGGAAAAATATATGATGAAGACCCATATTCACGATGACGTCGAAAAAATCGAAATTAGCCCTAAAACGTAAATATATTTTTATAATTATATAAAATATCGGTCATATGCCATTTTGTGAGAAAATTGAGGGTGATAGAAACAAATATTTATCAGATTCGGTTTCAGCAGCTAAAAATACATTAAAATCGACCAATTCGACTTGGTTTAAAAAGTTTTTACAAATCTTCAGTTCGTTGGTTTGTGTACAATTGGCCAACGTACATACATATTTTGAAGCATTTAATTAACTTTCTATTAAGAACATTAATCTATTTCGGGCCTGAACTTAAAGTCCTTCAGGAATAGCCTTAGCCCTTAACCTCGTTGCTCCATTTTGTGCACCTGATGCTTTCTTGGACCAGCCCAAAATATACAAACACCAAAATCATGTTCAGGCATATAATGGTAAGTATACTAAGGATATTAAGAAGAAAAAAAGCTGCTGCCAAGAAACGAAAATCGATTTCTTATGTTAAAAGCGGAGTCATAAGAAGGATAACCGCAACATCCCGAATATCTGGATGATACCTATTCCAATTCCAAAATACCTCTCACCCATATTAAGAGGCATATAAATATTATACACTCTCTGATAAAAATATCAAATGAAAACGACAAAGTCATCAACAAACAATTTGAATGCGGATAGCTTGACTTCTAAGACTATTAGTCGAATAGGAAATTAGTTTATGAAACACTTTCGATTTTGGACTTAATATGTAATACTGTTCAAAAGAAACATATCTAACGAATTTACTAAAAAGATTCACCAATACCCTAGAGGGGTCAATGGTGAAGCTTAAACAATGACTTTTTTGACAAAAAAAAATCAACCTTAACGAATACAGGATTTTTAATTATATTCAAGCAAGACACATGAACATATTTATAATTTAAAAGTAATTTCAAAACAATGCCAAAGAAAATATGCAATTTTTTTAACTACTAACCGGGTTTTTCAAATAATCGAATAATGACAATATTATCAAACCACAAGATGTTTTCAAAAACCACAACAAATAAATTCCGGTTCTTTTTAGCACACTTTGGTTTTATCCACATGCTACATTGTAAATATGTACTTATGTACATTCATTTTCAATGGTAAATTTCTGAATTCTCTTAAAAATTTTGCAATAATTTTAAGAAAGAAAGAAACATTAAATGCACAAGAATCAAATGCAAAAAAAAACTACTATAAATTTTAACTACGACAGGTGAAAAAGAATTTTACTCTTAATTTTAAAGCCAATTTGGATTTGTATTTTCTTTTCAGCGTTTGTTATTGTGGAAGATGTTAAAATTAAATAGGAGTTCATATAAACAAACTGAAACTGTTGAAAAACTTTCAGTTGAAAAAAAGCAGTCGACAAACTAATAACAAACACTCAGCATAAACTCTTCAACACCCAAGACTTAAACAAACCACCACATATTTAACTAAAAAAATAATTAAAAAAAAAATCTTGTTTAAAACATAAGAATTTTAAGAAAACAAAATAACAAAACGTGTAAAAATAATAGAAGAAAAGTGAGAAACCTAAACAAAACAGAAAAAATGTTAATGAATGAATTTACGAAACCATAATCTATCTAGCTCCATACTATTTCATAGAAAAGTACATATGAATATGGAAGAAGAAAACCGCAAAGTGTAAACAAAAATAAGAAAAAAAGTGGAAATTAGTGTTAAAAAATTGCAGTTAATATTTGAGTGTGCGTTGAATTTTTGATAAATTAGTAGAAAATATACTATATACTTAGTAATTATATTTAATAGTTATTTATTTTGAACACGTTTGAAGTTCAGTTACTTTTTTCAACAAAAAAAAAAAAAAAAAAGAAAATACCAAACATTTAATAACTAAAGTAAAATAGCTATACTGTGGCGCAAAAAATATTAGAATATTAAATGTTTAATAACCTAATGTTATCCGAAAATGGGTTAATATCATTTAATATTTCTCTATAAGGAATATGATTTTTTGGCAATACTGATTATTTAAA